TAGGTAGGTATGAGAAAAACTGACCCATTTATTTTAACCAATGGATCACATACATTTTAAACTGAAGAACATTCAACAATTTAATAAAATTAATTATAATACCCTGAAAAATAAAACATAATAAAAACAAAATGTTCTTTTAAAGTATAAACAATTCAAAATCACTTCGGTTATTGTTTTACTACCTGTCAGCCTGGTGCTGCTTTATGGTGGAAAAAACTGAAGGTGGGGACAAAACAAAACCCCACATTATTGTCTGTTCAAAGTTAAGAGTCCACAGCTCCAATTTTACTGACTGTAACCAAAACAACGTGATCATTGCACTTAATCTTCACTCAAACAAGTGTGTTAACAGATTAAACATCACTAATAACAAGAGCAAAAATAAATAGTAAGTATTAGTCAGTTATTTAAATTGATGGCTACATTTCTTACTGCTGCAGTTTCTGAGCATCATGTGGAGATTAGCCTCTCTCTCCTGCAGGGAGCAGTTTTTATCACTGCTCTCGTCATGTCGCGCTCATATTCCAAAACAAAAGCTGCGCTCTCCTTTCTTCTGTCCATCGACCCAGAGCTAATCCACGGGATGTCAAAACTGTAAGCGTGCTGTCCTCGCTTCTGCCAGCTTAGAACCACCGACCGGACCAGAGAGGAGGTTCCGAAACAGCGCGACTGTGTGCGGTCACTGGACCGAGGCCGAACGAACCGAGCCGAAACGCAAAGCTGCTGCCAGGGTGGAGAGTAGTTGTCCTCCGGTTTAAAACGTTCACTGTTCTGTTCCCCCTCGGAAAACTTGTGCGTGACAAATTTGCACTTAGCTGCAACTCTGTTTCTGATGAAAATAGAAAGTTCTGCCGACATTCTTGCTAACTTGTTAGCTCTGCATGTTGTTGTGATCACGTGAGCGCTGCTGGATAGAAACACTGGAGCTGAGTCAGTGAACTGCTGGAACGGACTGCTAATATCGGAGCGCTTATATCGGACATTTTTTATGCAGGCCGATAAAATCTGATACTCGTTTTTTGGCTGATATCGGACCGATATCTGATATCAATATCGGATCGGGACACCCCTAATAAATTGAAACTCATGCAGCGGCTTCTTAACGTCCAGACAGCAAAACATTTTTATGTTCTGTAATGAGTATCTAAATATTGTTTCTATTGTCTCCTATTTTCAGTCCTTGCTGATACAGGTGGTGCCAGCTACAAAAAGTATGAAGAAATTGACAACGCCCCCGAGGAAAAGGCCAGAGGAATTACCATCAATATCTCTCAAGTGGAGTACACCACAGCCAACAGACATTACGCCCACACGGACTGCCCCGGCCACGCTGACTACATCAAGGTAAACTTCTTTTCTACTTGCGCGCATCTCAACCAGGAAGTAATCTGGACCCGGTGCAGCTCRGTTGCTGTTTGACGTCTTTTCCAGAACATGATCACCGGCACGTCTCAGATGGACTGCTGCATCCTGGTGGTGGCGGGCACCGAAGGCCAGATGCCTCAGACACGAGAGCACCTCCTGCTGGCCAAGCAGATCGGCGTCGAGCACGTAGTGGTTTACATCAACAAGGCCGACGTGGTGGACGATAAGGAGATGCTGGAGCTGGTGGAGCTCGAGATCCGCGAGCTGCTCACAGAATTTGGTTACGATGGCGAGAACGTACCCGTTGTGGCAGGCTCCGCCCTCTGCGCCTTAGAGGTACAGGAAGTTCTGGGACTAAAGCTTGTTGTGTGTTACTAGTAAAGTTGCAGATTTGTGAAATGTACCAGCCAGTTTCTGTGTTTTTGTCTTGGTTTTTGTTCGGTAGCAGCAATAAACAGATTTTTCCACTAAATTTAATAGATGACATCACGATGTGTGTTCCTCATCTCAGGACAGAAATCCTGAACTGGGTCGGAACTCAGTGCTGAAACTGCTGGAGATCTTGGATTCTAATGTTCCTCTTCCCAAAAGAGAGTTGGATAAACCTTTCCTTATGCCCATTGAAGGGATTTATTCAATTCCAGGTAGGAAGAGACTAATCTGTCAGAATAAATGTAATTCAGGAAGATTATTGGTGCTTTAATTTATTTTTTGTGTGATGTTTTTGAAGTTATAGTGACACCATATGAAACAAACATAGGAGTCTGAATCGATGGTTTTATTTGTCCTTCAGGCAGAGGCACGGTGGTGTCGGGCACTCTGGAGAGAGGCGTCATAAAGAAAGGGGACSAGTGTGAGTTTKTGGGTYACARTTGCAACATCAAGTCTGTGATTACAGGTGAGTGAACACGCAAGAAAATGTTTTGTGTATAAAAGGTTTAGTTTGGGCTTCTATCACTCCTCCTCCTGCGTGTCTTTAGCGCTAACTCAAGCTCTGCTTTGAAAATTATGTTAGACCCAGAACTCGAATACAGGGGTCGATATAAGGGCCTTTAGGTTGTCCGAGAAAAATAAAGAGAAAATAAATATAAAAAACAAATATTCTGACAGTTTACTGATATTTCCACGTTGTGATCTTGAAGTAAAATTCTGAGACCAAGACAAGACCAAGACCRGTTTTGAGTCCAGCTCTATTTCTGAGTCTTTATAACTGTTTGTTTCTTTAAAAAAAAAGGAATGCTCATTATTTCTGATGATGAAACACCTTTAAATTAGGGATGCACCGATCCACTTTTTTTACTTCCGATTCCGATATCTGAGGTTTAGAATCAGCCGATACAGATCCAATCCGATACTGAAAAACAGCATTAATTGAAACATTTCTTTCCTATTTAAAAATAAAACAAAAAAGAGACATAAATGAACTACTGAATTGCACATTTATTTTATAACTATGCACCAGCACCAGAACAGCAATCTTAAATAAACCAACTGTTCACAAGCTTGGTCGAACACATTAAAAAAAAAACTTTTAAGTTTAACTTGTTCAGTGAGGGCGGCACGGTGGCTCAGTTGGTAGAGCTGATGCCTCTCAGCAAGAAGGTCACCGGTTCAAATCTCGGTCGGGGGTCCTTTCTGGGTTTGAGTTCTGAGTTTGCATGTTCTCTCCGTGCATGCGTGGGTTCTCTCCGGGTACTCGGGCTTCCTTCCACAGACCAAAAACATGACTGTTAGGTTAATTGATAACTCTAAATTGTCCCTAGGTGTGAGTGAGAGAGTGAATGGTTGTTTGTCTCGTTTGTCTCTATGTGTGGCCCTGTGATGGACTTGCGACCTGTCCAGGGTGTACCCCGCCCCTCGCACTGTGATTGCTGTATATGGGCACCAGTGACCCACGCAACCCTGAAAAGGAAGAAGCGTGTACAGAAAATGGATGGATGGATGGATTGTTCAGTGAGTGCAATTAGGAATTCAAAATATAATATAATAAAGAAGCTGATATTTAGGAAAATAAAACTTAAGTTCAATAACTTGGTTGCCATATATTCAAAATAAACAGAAATCAGTCCTTTCTTTGGTTTACTGCATTTGTGCAAACAAAAATAGCAGCCTAATAAAACATTAGTTTCAATAACTTGGTTACCATATTCAAAATAAACAAATCAGTCCTTTCTTTCTTTGGTTAATAGCAATTGTGCAAACTGAAAAATAGCAGCCTAATAAAACAATAGCTTCACTAGCTAGCTTGGTAAAACAAACAAAAATAAATAAAAAATCTGTCCCGAAAAACTAGACAAATCTAGATTTTTCCCCACACATACCACTCAGTGTCAGTAACATGATCAAGCAAATTTCTCAAGCTTTCTCAAGCTCAGGCTTAAGCATCAATGGAAGGTTTTTGTTTAAGAATGCAAGCATTTCTGCTCTCTCGGCTGTGAGTCTGTTTTGCTTCTCGTCCAAGATGGTGGAAACAGTGCTGAATAGCTGTTCACTTTCAACGCTAGTGCAGGGCGCACAGAGATACTTAAAGGCAGCGGCAGCAAGGCCAGGAAACCGCTGACGGTTGACTCCCCAGTATTTATATGGGTCATTTGTGGCAGAAACTGTTTCCTCTGTAAAATATCCATGCAACTGTACAGCAGTGCTAGAGATGTTTCCTGCACCTGGATCTTCCTCATGCTCCCCCCTTATTTTGTCAAATTCTTTAGTGAAGCTGCTGCTACCTTTGTTGCTGCTTTGAGCTGCTGCTGCTTCCACTCGGGGGGCCTTCCCTGGTGGCTCCAAAGCCTTGGATGCTCCATCAGTGTTGGTCCTCAAGTCTTCCTCCAGCTCCTTAGCTAGTGCATCTTTCTGAAAAAGATCTGAAAAGATAAAATGCATAGGGTTCAGTTTTAGACTCAACAAATTAATATTGAAAGAAAAAAGTCAGATGTGCACTTTTCTTTAAAATTTCAAGAATAAGTGCATCTAAAGGGGCAGATATACAATTTCTGTCAGTCTTTCTACACGTTTTTAATTCACTTTTACTTCGTTTTTTAATTGATTTTGTTGTTATTATGAATGAAATTAAATTAAACAGTGTGTACAATAATATAAAAAAAATCTTACAAAAACATTAAAATGTTTCACTGAAATGTTAATTTATTGACCAAAACCTGTATTGAAGTGTGATGGAGCATCCTTGCCCCTTCACACTTTTCAGCAGACTTTGATTTAGATCACAGTTCCTATGCACACATAGTTTACACATAGCCATGTCATCCTCAAATTCTCCTTTCAGTTAGTTTGCAAT